CCCCACCCCCCACTCCAGCAACCCTCAGTTTGTTTCCTGAGATTAAGAATTCCTTATATCAGTGAGATCATATGATACATGTCTTTCTCTGTTTGTTGGAGTTGTTTGTTTTTTTGAGAAAAGGATAAACTTTAAACACTGTGATAGCTTAAATTGCTATTAATTTTGTAAATATTACTTTTATGCAATTGAATCTCATCAGCCCATTGTAAATCTTAAGTTTCAGTTAATTCCCAAGGAAATAATGTTACTGCTCAACTTTAAAATATGACACAATGTGGCTTTTGTTAACAGATGAATATGCTATTTGGTTTGACATACAGTATAGATGGTAAATGTGTGCCCATCATCACACTGGAGGGGCCTTGCATACTTGCTGCAAAATCAAAACCAGTCTCTTTTGTACTTTGATACCGCCTGCTCATAATTTGGTGTGAATAAAAGGACATTTATAAAGTTATGACCAAAATTAAGGCATCTTCTCCTTGTGAACATTAACATTTGAAGAAATATAATAAAAAAAAAACTTACGGGTGCCTGGGTGGCTCAGATGGTTAAGCGTCTGCCTTCGGCTCAGGTCATGATCTCAGGGTCCTGGGATCGAGTCCCGCATCGGGCTCGCTGCTCCTTGGGAGCCTGCTTCTCCCTCTGCCTCTCTCTCTCTCTGTCTCTCATGAATTAAAACAAAAAAACAAAAAAACAAAAAAAAAACAACTACTGTAGGGCATCTGGGTGGCTCAGTTGTTTGGGCGACTGCCTTCAACTCGGGTCATGTTCCTGGAGTCCCGGGATGGAGTCCCGCATAGGGCTCCCTGCTCAGTGGGGAGTCTGCTTCTCCCTCTGACTCTCCCCCTCTCATGCTCTCTCTCTATCACTATCTCTCTCAAAAAATAAATAAAAATCTTAAAAAAAAAAACAAACCTTACTGTAGACTGGCTTTCACCATTCACTCTATAAGGGAGGAGTGAATAGGTGGGAGGGAGATGTTTCCAAAGGTCACTAGGCTGACAAAGCTGTCATCCTCCCCATGAACCTAGGTCAATTTAGTGTCACTGGAGATTGGAGTACACAGAGTAGAACAGAGAAGTGAGTGAGATATATTTTTTTTTGTACAAACCAAAAATTAATCTTTCCCTAAACATAGAAAATTAACAAATCATCTATTTCAAAGCAATACACATATAGAGTTACTTCTAAACATGAAAGTTTGATCTTTTTTTAAAAGATGTATTTATTTTTATTTTAGAGAGAGAGAGACAGAGACAGAGAGAGCAGGGGTGGGGGTCAGAGGGAGAGGGAGAGAATCCTCAAGCGGACTCCCCACTGAGTGTGGAGGACCAGGACCCTGAGATCATGACCTGAGCCCAAATCAAGAGTTGGACACTTAACCGACTGAGCCACCGAGATGCCCCAGAAAGGTTTAATCTTAGTGTCACGATTTTCCCTACAAATCTTTAGATTTTACAAAAATATTTATAAGGAAGTATAAAATAAGAGCATAAGACCTTAGAAAATAAGAAAGCCTGATACAATTAATGTGAAATGAGCCTTGAAAATTGCATTGTATTTCTTTAATTGCTAATGACTGAACCAGGAAAGAAATTTAAGCAAGCATGAATGTGGATACCACATTCCACTGATTTATATATTTATATTAAAAATACATTATTTTTCTTTTTAT